TGCATAAAAGTCGTTCGCATTCGGTCGCCCAAGATATATGAACGACAAGTGCGCCTTGTCAGTTTTTCTTTATTATTGTCGTCGTTGTTGTCGTTGTTGTTGTTGTTGTTGTTAGTGTATTTGTGTGTGTAAACAAAGCGTCAAATACAAATGCAAGACAAAATGTTCTAAAATTAATTTTCGACAACATTTCTTCATTATTCTTTATGGCCGGCACCGTCCAAAGCAAACAGTCCAAATAAAGTCAGAGAAAATCAAATATGAGATTCACAAACACACACACACACTCGCGCCTATTAATATCCATGCAAGCCATAAATTACACATTTATAAGAGTTAATTATTTATATTATAGTTTCATTTCAATATCTATTTGAAATGCTGCACTGTTTTATTTAATTTCGTATAAATGTTAAAAATCTTAATAAAAGTCCTTAGATGTTATAACCGGTTGATTAACAATATTAAGTTTTTGTCGAGCTAATTAGTTGTTTATTACAACAGAACTGAAGGAAGATCATGGTCGCGAACTATAGTATATGTACGAATAAATGTATATAGAGTAGGATTGTTTCCCTTCTCTTTCTGAACCCCCAACAAAAACATTTTGGGAAACAAAAATGTTATCAATCATCGTTCAGGGTTTGAAAGATTCCATTTACTCGAAGGAGCAAAAAATCGAAGATAATGCAGCTTTAATTTTCAAATTTTCTTATGTGGAAAATAACCGATTTTACATGCCAGAGAGAAAACTGAACTTAGAGAAATCTTAGAACTGCTAAGTATGTTTATGGCTTTGTCATATCACTTCTTTTAATTTGTATTACGAGCGATGTAAAATAATGGATATAGCTATGGCTGCAACAGTATATAATTCGGTTCAGAAACAAGCAAGTTTTTAATACAAAAACTACTTTTAAAACATATAATAAAGGAAATTCACTTAACTGTGTTCGTCTCTCAGAAGTCTCCGTGCAAAGCAGATTGATGAACTCTTTCTCTATTTTATGTGGCACGTTCCCTCAAAAGGGATTAGAACTACGGTGTACGACTTCGTTTGCAAGCAAATATATAACATAAGCAAATATGTATCATAAGCAAATGTATAACATAAGCTATGATGGATAACAAGTTCAGATCTGTCAGTACCCTGTATGTCCCTAAGGTAGGGCCGGAAAGTATTCAGCATCTCATTGAACCAAATAGCCTCTAACCGTGAGACATCATTGGAAATAGCCCTACTTGTATAAATAAAAGTAGTCGTCAGATAATAAAGCTATTGATTCTGATTACAACTGTTTAGACTTTAAAGTGCATTGGAAAAAACTGTTTTCAATTTGCCAAACAAATTTGTACTCTGTTTAATAAACTTCGCAATTGCTAATCGCTCTATTGAATTAGTACAGAACTCAGAAAAAAGTTTAAAAATTATTTAGGGAAATATATATATGATTATTATTTTAAAACTATTTTATAATTAAAACAATTATAAAAAGACAGATTTTAGTTCTTCGAAGAATGCTGAGGCCCATCAAGTCAATGGATTTTTTCATTTCCGATTTTTCTGATATCTTTAAAGCTTAGCTTTACAGTCTTACCTAAAATATTTGCTGTTAAATTTATTATTATTTAAATTGAGCAAAAGAGCAACAATTTATTTATCTATTTATCCAGCCAATTTAAATACGTAGCTCAGCCAAACGACAAACAGGATCATCAATATTGGCTACAACATGTAATTGACATGCCGAAAATGAATATTAAATTGGTTGCTTGACTTAATACACTCAGCCCAACATTCCTATATGTATAAGCCATGGCTATAATATCGAACGCCCACAACAGCTGTTCGATTGTTTATCTCGGAAGGCATCGCAATATCAACGCTCAAATATGATTAATAAGTCATTTCTTTGTCAACAACTGGCGTTGACGCCAACACCAACAAGACACTGTTCACAACGTCATGGAAAGTCTTTAATAATATAAATATATAGTACATACATACATACATGCATACATACATACAAGCATACATGGATGCATAAATAAATTATAGGGCAGCCAGAGCGAAAACGAGGAGCGCAGTGGATAATAAAACATAGTGTTGACAGCCACACGCAAAATCAACGCGGTTTTTGCTTCCTCCTCCATGGAACTCCTTTCATGGAGACCCCTTTAGCTGTTCGCACAGTGGTGCGACAGTGAATGTTAAATTGTAGTAGATTTTAAGTGTAGAAAAAGAGGGTTAAAAGGTCAAAGGTAAAAAGTCAGTAGTTGAATATAAATATTCGATTTATTTTATTAAATCAATTATTAAATCTTTCATTGAAGTACTTTCATGGAGACCCGTTTAGCTGTCCGCACAGTGGTGCGACAGCGAATGTTATAATTGTAGTCGATTTTAAATGTAGACAAAGAGGGTTAAAAAGTCAGTAGTTGAATATAAATATTCGATTTATTTTATTTTATTAAATCAATTATTAAATCCTCCTTGGAACTCCTTCAATAGAGACGTCTTTAGCTGTCCGCACAGTGGTGCGGCAACAAAAGTTAAACTTTCTATTTTAAGTGTAGAAAAATATGGCAAAAAAGTTGGTCTCATATACTTATCATGAGTACATTTTGACAGTCGATAGTTGAATGTGAATATTCGTTTTATTTTATTTTATTAAATCAACAAATATGGGCTAGTGGTACAAATTACAATAAGTATATAAAATAATAATTCGTTATAATTTCAACATAAAATATAAGAAATTCTTAAAAATAAATGTTTAATAAAGTCTATTTGCCTTGCTAATGATGAATGGCTTATAATGGCTCTGCCAAACATATACATCTATATATAAAACAATTTTTATTTGACTGGCAGGCTTTCACAGCACAGCCCAAGCGGTAAGAGCAGTGCTGTCATAATTTTTTGAGCAAAAACAGCTAGATTGTCAAAAAAAAAGCTAAAAAAGCTAAATCCAAGGCAAAATAAGCTAAAAAACAAGCCGGCTTTAAAAACTCTATTTTCTTGGTTAAATTTAAGGAAATATCTGTTTTTATGTTTTCATATTAATTATATATTCTTAATTCATAATTTATAATAATAATTATTGTAAAAAAATAATAATAGAAAATTCACATTAAAAAAAGCTAAAAATTCTACAGTTATTCAGTTTCAGTTCAGTTTTTCAGTTTATTTAGCTTACAAAAAACATAATTTACGCTCAAAGTGGAGTTAAGCGTATTTAAATTCATCCAATTTCTTAATTTGCATTTAACTAAGTTCACCTGGCTGAAGACCCGCTCCACTTCGCGAACACTTTGTTTTTAAACATTAGACATATTTTAACGCAGCAAAGAAGAAAAAAGGCGTATGCTCGATCCTGGCGGTGATTTTGATAGTTTTTTATTATCGAAAGTCGTTTACCACTGCTTATATTCATGATACACACTTAAAGTGTTAACAAAGATAATGAAAAAATATATGGTGGAAAATAATGTAAAGCTAGAAAAAGGCTAAATAATTTTTTTTAAGCTAGAATTCCTGCAACCCGCTATTATCGAATTTTTCCCGTACTGGCATTCAAAAAAAAGCCAGATCTAGCAGGAAAAAAGCCAAAATGACAGCACTGGGTAAGAGCTAGGAAGCTGCCACTTTCCCAGTAAGGTATTTCGAAAATAACAGCTCCATATGGCTGTCAACTTCTTTTCCTACCTGCCAAATTCCTTTGTGTGAAAAATCATACATTTTTTAACCGATTCACTTTCAATTTGGTTATCAAATACCCTAACAAAATTGGCAGGCTTTATAATAAAAAATAACTTAAATAATCCTTATAATATTTTATTAGTATTAAGTCCGAGCGTGCTGTCTGGAAAAGAAATTCTAGACCACTGTGCAGCGTCCCGTGACTATGCATATACATATGTATAGTATTTATGTTTCACAGTTACACAGTTGTAAATTGCACAAAGCACACGAAGTACTTTTATTTATTTATTTTATTTGTTGTTGCTGCTGCTGCTGCTGTATAAACGAATGCGTTGCCGTTGGCCTGACAGCCAGAAAGTGTCGTTGACTTGCGCTGACCTAGGAATAAAGTAAAAAGAAACCCACACCCATGAGACAAATGCCAGCGAGTGCCTTAATGCGTTCAAGATTCACACATACTGATGTACGAGCATATATATGTATTGTATATATGTTTATATGTATATAGTATATGCATATGGGAAAGACAATTCTGGGAAATGCAAAGTTTTGCGGCAACTTTGCCTTGGCTTGCCAATTTACTCGACACAGAACAGAAAGCCTTTCGGTATTATTCTTTTTTCTTTATTTCATTTTTATTTTTTTGTGGCTTATGGAAAATTTATCGCATTGACGTCGTCGGCCATTAACTGAGTTCGAAATGTGTGAAGACTAATAGCCTGAGTGGCGAGCATGGAACCACGACAGTGCGTACTAGTTTCGTCACTTCTAGACCAGATGGGAGCTGTCTAGAAAGAGAAAACAATCAGCCAACTAGACTTAAGCATTAATCCCAACCTAAGTGAGAGATTCCCGATAGCAGCGATAAGCACAACGATATACAAGTAATGTTTGTGGTCCAGTACAAAAGTGTTAAACCTACAAGATTTATAATTACACTCATGCCTTGAGATGCGTGGAAGTTACTTATTTTCCCCCACTTTTGGGTTATATTTTTCAAAACGCCTAAAGGAAAATTTGCGAAACTTTCTTCACCATATCGTGAATTCAATGTAAACAGTTTCTTTAAATATATGCAATATTTCCCCCACTTGTGGGTTTAATTTCTGAGATGCTCAAATTTCAAGTCTTTGTAAGTCAGGGCATTAATGAATAAAAACTAAACATTTCTTTTAAGTATATACAATTTATTAACATTATAAATAAAACACTCTTTGCTTTTCCATTCATCTTGTTCCAGTTCATTACCTGAAACATTTTTATAGAATTTACAAAACTAGAAAAAATTATTTGTTTATTAGAAAAGAATATTCTCAATATATATTGAATAATCCGCTATGTCTCTATCGACAATGGAGGAACATTGCGAAGATGATGTGATTTTTTTCGCTGAAAACGATCCTGTCTTGCAGGTGGAGTATGCTGAGGAGATGTCCCGGATGGCTCCCCTAGCAGTAAGTACAGCCTTAAACTATACGGTTTTTTGTTCAACTGTGCAGCGAATAATATAAATAGGTGGCTTTATGTGCGAGGCACTGCATTGTGATTGGTGTGGAGAAGAAAACGGAGTCGCATTTGCAGAATAGAATGCCACAGAAAATTTCAATGCTGGACGACAACATTGCAATCACTTTTTCGGGCCTCATAGAGGATGCCAAGGTGATCATCAGTCGCGCCCAGGCCGAGTGTCTGAGCCAGAAACAAAAGGGCGAGTGTCCTGTAAGCACGCTCTCCATTTCACGGTCGGTTGAAAAGATGCCCCCTTCAAAATATTCTCCATAACTCTTGCTCCTAATCTTGTAGATATATTGCCGAGCTGAAGCAAACATATGTGCAGTGCGTGGAGCCGGCTCCGCTGAGCCTCTCATGCCTGATCTGTGGCTTCGATGAGGACGGAGAGTCGCGTATTTATCAAACCGATCCCTCGGGCAATTACTTCGAGTATGCGGCCTGTGCCATCGGACGTGGTTCCCAGATTGCCGGCGACATTTTGCAGCAAGCGTCGCCAGCCCTCATGACCGATGAGCCCTCGGCCATCCAGTGGGCTCTACGCCTATTGATGTCGGCCGCCCATCTGAGTGGCGACAATATCGATGTGGCTGTCCTCAAGTACAAAGAGCCGTTGCGAATATTGGACAAAGAGTCTCTGGCCCCAAAAATAGTCGCAGCCCAGCACGAAATTGAAGAGGAAACGAAGGCCAAGCAGCACTTATTTATTTAAATTGAAACTAAAGTCAGCAATAATTTTGAACAAATAGTAGTGTAATGAATGGTCGGTTTAAAAGTGAAAAAGGAAAGTCTTGATTGTGTTCATTCCAATGCACAATAACTAAAATATAGTTATTTATTATACGTAATTGAAAAACAAATCAGACATAAAAATTGGACAAAAATATAAAAGAATACTTCTTCTTCAGAGAGTTCAATACCTAAAGAATGGTATTCCAGCTCTAATCTTAAATGGAAAGATTCACAAAAATCGGACAATGTGCCGCCACTGGGGAAATTTAGTTGAAATTGCAGCATTGCGAAGCATTTGTATCTAGATAGTTGTTGGCCCAGAGCCGATGTGGAAAATGCATTAAGAGGCAACCGTTCGTCTCAGCAGTCTATCCGTTTTATTTGACTTGCGATTTTGCTTTCAATTGAGCGAAATGCAGTTAGCAGCAGATGGAAATACAAACACAAACACACACATACACTTAGAAACTGAAAGGACATGCGAAATGGAGCATTGCCTGCAATTACTACTTGGCCAAGTTTTTATCAGACTTCGGCAGCTGCTTTTGGCCAAGCCGGTATTGCAAATGGAAATAAATAGTTTCCCAGCCCTTTTGTCTAATTAAAAGGTTTCGTTTCGTTTTGGCTCGTTTTAATGCCAAGGACTAAGGACGTGCATGCCTGTTGGGCAACTCAATTTGTTGACGTCACACACACACACACACACATAGACAAATACACACAGCGCACTAAGCCTCGCACATCACTTGCCTGCTGGTAGTGCTTGTTGTTTGCCTTTCAGCTCGTGCCTTTCGACAAGTTTGGCTATTCCTGTCCTCTTCCTCGCTGTACAGTTGAGTTGCCAGCTGTCCATATGTTTGCTTGATGCCACTCACATCGTGGTTCTTGTCGTTGTTGTTGTTGCTGCTGCCACCATCCATGATGATGATTAATATGCGGAAATCATTTTCGGTTGCACGTAGCAATGGCCGCCGGTCAGGCCACAGGTCAATAGGTACGAGTAGCTGTTTCTATTAGGCGTTGTTTGAACGACACATCGCAGCTGTATTTCTCATCGTATCAATTATTAGGGAAACGACTTTAATTTAATTGTTTTTAATAAACATCCATTCGAATTATTAAAAGTAAGCATTTCACAGTAGGCTCTTCTTTGATGGGCACTGCATAATTCTAAGATGACACTATGTACAATCTTTTTGCCCTGGCATATGTGATCCCTTATTGGGAAGAGATACTTCATATTCTGTCTGCTAGAATTGAAGTAATTTGTTATTTTCTTTTCTCAATACTTTCCTTGGGGTTTTAAATACAATAGCACCATTGTAGAAAAACTTTCCATTTAATTTCCTTATACTCGCTAAATTTTATTTCGAACCAATGAAAAGATTTCCCATTTTTGATCTGTATTTTATTTATTTTATTAAATTATCCTAGCGTTACAAGTACAAGATTACTTTTAATTTATTACGAAAGTCGATTATAGTCAATTCTAATTTAATTCAACTTAATTTAATTTAGTTAAACAATTTTTTGTTTGACGTTGAACATTTTAATTATTCATTTTATTTATTTTATTATTTTAGTAAAAAAAAGTTGTATTTAGTCTTAAGCTGCGGGCGGACAGGTAAAGAATCTGTCGAAAATGTCATGAAATATATGCTATTTCAATAAAAATTTATAAGAATTATATAGTCAAGTGTGATTGACTTTTCAAAGACCACAAGTAAAATGTTATTTATTTATTTTTTTATTTATTTCATCGACAAACAATGCAGCCGATGTAAAAGAAAAAGAAAACAAAAAATCAATACAATAGAGAACTTAAACTAAAATAAAGCTATAGGAATAAAAAGCCTATAAAAATGACACAAATATCTAATAACGAATCCGACATATTATAAATGTTATACATTTTTAAGGAAAATATGTACATGTTTAAAATTTTAATTTAATTGTAAATTGCAAATTAAGTCAGTTGGAGATTTATTTAATGTCATATAGAAAATATCTTTAATTTCATGTTAATGAATTAACAAATTATTGATATAATCATAATTAACTTAATTTGTCTTCAAGAATAGTTTAAGCCCCCTTGTTAACTTTTAATCGAATTAGCTCAGCAAAGAAAGAATTGTTTGTTACATATTTATATGAATTTTTTCATTTACTTTAGGTTAGTTCGTAACTAAGTATTAACTAAGCAGTTATAAGAAGTTTCATTAAATTTTTTGTTAATGGCGCTCATTAATAATTTCTTTAAAAGCAAATAAAATAACGCTTACCATAATATTTCACTCACTTTTGCTATGTTTTGGTACCTTACACAATTGTATCTTATTTACAAAAATACATACGTTCGAACAGAGCTTAAAGCAGTTTTCCTGTTAGTCTGGAAATATGCAACAGTTCTTAGATGCTGCCGCAAACTTTTGCATTACACTTCAGTGATTCTTGTAATTTGGGAATCGAATTTTGTGGCCTAATTTAAATTATTCTTTTGTGCAGGTGCACCATTTGGTTGGGAATGAGTTTTCAACAATTTGAAGACTTGGAAAGTAGGAAGAAGTTTAATTAAATTTGCCAAATTATGCATTAAACCGCATCTTGACAACGCAACAAGTGTGTTGCTATGCGGTTATACGTATATTGGTGTAAGTGTGCTGCCATAACATTCACATTTATGGCAAACGCGCTTACAACAAAGCTTAATTATGGCACAGCAAAAGCACAGCATGCATGAAAATAAGTGTAAAAAGCTCAACTGGAAATTGTAAAACTTGAAAGCTGCCGCCAGAAATGCAACAGTCGGTTGCTCGAACAGTGCCGGCAATTCAAGAGAGCAGAGCTATAAGATATTTGACGTTATGGGAAATTTCGCTTCATTTTTTTTAATGCTACTTCAGCTGAGTCAGACCCATAAACCCGTTTCAGCTTAGAATGAAACAATAATCATGTGATGCGTAGCGGCAACCGCAAGAAATAATATTTTTGAAAATCGAAATGCGCGCTTATCAGCCAAACCGAATATAAATGTGAATGGGGCTTGTGGTTCGTTTGTGCGCGCTCTCTCGCTCTCTCTCTCTCTCTCTCTATCGATGTCAAAGGTGCTCGAAAGTTCTCTGTGTATGTTGGTGGATGCGTGGCTTTTTGGGAGCGCAAGCTCACTGCTGTGCCTCTCGCCTTCCAGTGACTAAGCCAAGTCGGCCCAAACAACTAAAGCCGAGCATTGAACAACCAGTGGCAGTTTGAAATTTGACGTGCTGCCAGCTACAACGATTGCGCTCGCCCGGCCCCAAAATGTAATACTATCATCATCTCCACAATAACAAGCCAAACGAACACACAACAACACAGCTACAACTGCATACATACACAAATATACTTGTACATACACACGCACACACATGCACGCACTTACATGCAGTGTACAAGTAACAGTTGTAACTGAGGTGCACTCTTGGCTCACGATTGCATGTTTTGATTTGGAGAGTGGCAACCGAAGTTATTGTTTGCAAAAGTACAACAACAATGTGTTAAGTGACTCAAGCAGCAGGTTTTTGTGAAAGTGTCGCGCAGAGCAAACTAAAAACAAAAACACTAATAACAACAACAATTCCAAATCACAACCAAAACAAATGAAACAGCTCGCCGCTCATTCGCTCCGCATTATTATTTGTTATTATTGCTTATTCGGCTCTAATTATAATTTTAATATTTAACGCTGAAGGTTGATTTGTTTGTGGAAATATATTAAATGAAAACATTAAAGAATTAATACAAATAAAAACACATATTAAAAGCAAAAAAGTATATTATTTAAATTGAAACTAAATCATTAAAGTATATTAAATAAAAAAACATATTTATTTCCTATAACTATAAAGCAATAAAACAATAAATTTTAAATAATTACAAAGCAATGATATATTTTTTAAAAAACATAATTAATTTTTAATAATTCCAAAGCAATCATATATTTTTAACAAAACAATACATTTTACATAATTACAAAATAAAAGCAATAGAAACTGCAAAATAAACAAAATTCTACTTTTTTACTTTAAATAATTTTATTTATACAAAATTTTCATTAAATATTGCTTCACAATTTAATTTATTTTAAGCAGAGCAAAATAAATTACAATATAGGTTCAGACTTTTTGTTTCAATATGACTTTTATACTATATTTATTAACTATTTTATTTAAGAAAATCAATATAAATACAAAACACATTTTATTTCCCATTTTCCTAAATTGTATTTTTTATTTTGGTTTTGAAAAAAATCAACCTTAATGCAAGAATAAATAAAAGTGAAGTATATAAATAAAAGTAAAATAAAACAAAGTAATATAAGAGTTTCTATTATAAACATAAAATGCGCTTTCATAGCAATAAATAGATTGATTGATTAATAAATACTAGATTGCTGAGTAAAACATATTTCAATTAAAAACAAAACTTATTATTCTAACTATGCTACTAAGATTAATTAGAACATTATGAAGAATTATTTATTTAAAATATTAAATAAAATTAAAATGACAGCTTTCAGATAATTTCAATAAAAAGTGCATATAATTAATATTTTCTCCACATAACTATGATTTATTTTGTTGCGCCAATTCTCTTATTTTAAACAAGTATTAATGAGCAACATTTTCTCAATAAATCACTGACTTTTTCCATGTCGATTGTCAACTTTTTGTGCACTTTAATGTGCGCTTTGACATTTGCGTGCGAATGATGTGCAGAGGTGTGTGAGAGATAAAGTTTTAATCTAATTTATTTAATAAATTATACAGCGCATTGGTATTTGTTGTGGAACTGAAATTGAACGAAAATGAGCGCCGTGGATGCCATAATCAATTATAGACGCAGTCCCGAAGAGGACTTTTACGGTCTGCTCAATTGCGATGAGAACTCCTCGGTAAGTTTATTAAAATTTAATCGAGTAAGTTATGTGCAATGGTGATGAACTAATGGTGAACAGTGTGTGTTGGTCCATGGTTCGCGTTTGCCTCCACAGCATCCACAACAAAATCTAAAATAAAATCATCGAGCAAGCAAAGTTTGCACAGAATTGAATTAGAATATAATCGAATGAGACTTGAAAAAGTGTGCACAATAACTTTTTCGCACGCCACGTTTCAAGGTGATTGACGACAGAGCACACAAAATGAAATCAAATACAAGACATCGGGCACTAAGTCAGTCAGTCAAACAAGCAGTCAGTTAGTCAGTAAGTCAGGCAGTCTGTCAAGCAGCCAACTAGTCTGTTTGCCATTCATCCACTCATTTCATTTCATTTCATTCCATTGGTCGATTTAGACGCTCGTTTAGCTGGTTGCTGGCTTTGAGAATTAGTTTCAATTACGCCCAGCTCTAGGCGTCTCAGTCAGAGTCAGAGTCACGGCTTCCATCGTACAAGTAGATTGGCAGAATTGGCGACGAAATGCGCCCAGAGGCCGGAGCGGGGGCCAGAGCACGCGTTTCTCCGCTAAAATGCATCTCGAAAGCCTCCGGCAAAGAGACAGGTCGAGTGGCCGTAATTAAGTGGCCATTTAATAGCGATTCGCACGTCACTCGCTCGGCAACTTGTGGCCATGAATCATGCAGCCACCTTTTGCCCTGATGCTTGTATATGGTACGTATTATTTATTTTTTTCGTCTTCTATGGCCAAGACCGTTAAGCCCTTTAATTAACTCGTAACTTTACTCAGAGCTTTTTCGGCCATTGTTGGCGCCTATATTCTCATGTGTGAGTGTATTTTCTCTAGGCCTCGCAATTATTTCACACCTACACTGAAAAAAAATTTAAGTACATTACAATAAATTATTCTCTGTAGCCGTACATATAAAGATGATGGTCGGAATCACTTGTTAATTTAACAGGAAGGTGGCCTAGCCCTTCACTTTTTTTGATGTCAAAAGTTTGCAAGTAACTTTTTAAAATTTGACCCCCAATTGGGAAAAAGTTTCTTTTGTATATTTTTTATATTTAACCTCAATCGCGGGAAACTTATGATGTAATTTTCAACTAAACTTTGTTGGTTGATGGCATTACTATAATTTTAATAAAAATCATGATCGATTATTGGCGGATGGAACTGGGAGATTCTGAATGTTCTGAACTCAGAATATATTTTATTTTCCCTTTACGGCCCTATTGACTTATCGTTATTAAATAAATATAAAATCTCTTATTCGAACAATTTTGTGAAAACTTAAATCTTAGCGTTTGTTTGTTGATGCTTATTTTTAACAGTGTAATTGCCTTACATTGTCTGTAAATATGTTCAGTAATTTATTGTTTTATTCTTGAAATTGAATTTATATTGTTTGTTATATGTATATATACTATTTCTATATTCTAAAAAGTACTTACTGTTGTTTTAAAACATTATAAGTAGATGAATTCTTAGATCCTTTGAGAAATTTGATAGTTTATTTCTATGTGCTGTTTTAGTATAAATTAATTTATTTGTTTGTAAAGTGTATTATTTTTAATATTATTTCAAACTACTTTAGCTTCAGCATTTATTTCTATTGTAAAACTTATTTTCTTACTTCGCCACTACTTTTGCTATTTTTAAAATTAAGGTAAAATATTTAGAATCCAAGTTTTACTTTTTTATGATTTATTGTGAATGAAACAGAAAACGAATACAAAGACCTTGTTCTAATAAGTAATAGGAATGACCAGACATTATATGTGAAGTCTAATCCCTTATCGCCATCTCAACAGAAACTTCACTGTCTCCTGAAGACTAAACTTCTTCAGTCACTATTCTGAGAGTTGTAGGATTGAGTTTCTTGGACTATTTGTTTTCACAACACAAGCTTCATTGTGCTTGAATTTCGTTCAGTGTAGTCATAAGGGCTTTTATTTGGAAGACACACTCACCTCTTCACTTTTGTCCCCTAAAATTAATGAGCGTAATACAATCTAAGCAGAGCATTTGCCAAATGGCAGGACGAGGTCCTTTCTTCAAATTTGGCTGTAAGAGTAAAAGCCTCAGACAGCTTAATGGCATTTAGCTATCAGCAGAGGCATAACAACAACAACAACAACTACTACAGCATCAGCAAGAATAACAACAACAACAGCAAGGACGGTATTCATTTGGCACTTCAGTTATAAAATTTTCAAGCTCAGTAAATTTCAATAACATCACTTTCCACACCACACACACTCGACCCCACCCCCCACTCTTCCACCACCCACAACCAGTTAGACACACCCATTCAGGCACATGCATGCTCATCGCTCAGCTCGGCACTCTACCCTGAAATAATAAAATTTATTGGCAGAGAAAATGTTTTCTATATGTACTCGTATGTACCTGCAGAAGGAGGTTGGTATTTTTTAAAGCTGTCGATTAAATCATGTTGCAAAATCTATTGAATTATGCACGGGGCTGATGAAAAATGGCGCAGCTAAATGCTTTTGGCGAAATTTGTGGGAACCCCCCGCCTAAGGGTAGGGGTGCGGGTATTGGTACGGATTGGTATTGGATTCGATTGGGCTTAGGGTGTGTGCCAAGGCTTTGGCTTAGCAGCTTCAAGGGCTGATTGTCTGGTTGCCAAAGTGTCTGAGTGCCGGGCTTAGGTTTTGACAGTGCGTTAAGCTCAGTGTTTTCGAAACGAGAGTTATCCTTGGCTGGGTGGTCGGGTCGACCTCCTCGCTGACGGAATGATGCGCATTTCCAATTCCAGCTCTCTTTTTTGTAAGAAAAAGAAAATGAAAGAAGCATACTTTTAAAATGCTGCACATTAAATATTGATTCAATTTTATGAAATAAATGACAGACACGCCAGCGAGAGGGCAGATAGTGAGAAGATAAAGAAGACATAGTCTCTTTTTGATTTTATAAATTGCATAATTTTTACATATCATCTCTGTTAAGTATTACCAACTGACCAACTGATTGCTGATTTCCTTTTGTTCGAAATCTAATCTTTTTTAAGATACCCATATTTATTTACAAATATAGAAAAGAATCAGCTATTGTTGAAAAGAAAAGTATATAGCGATTGTAACTTTTTTATATATATATGTATATATATATATATATATAGTATATATTGTAAGTGATTTTAAAAATTCTCAACCGTTGTTAGCTCAAACACCTTCAATCATAATAAAATGTTGAAATATTCAACCACAAGCACTCCAAAACATTCGGGATCTTCTCCTACCCCAACAGATGAATATTATTCTCTGAATAGATATAAACATCAGCTGTTTTGTGAGCATTGTGATCATAAAAAGACCGTTACAAATTTTATAACTTAAAAGATAAATCTTTGTTAAAATACAAATGCCTTCAAATAACGCAATATTATATTTGTAGGTCTATGTAGAGTACATGAAGTTGCCAAGCCGCGCCGAGGGTATTAAATCACCGAAAGCCTACAAAATGTAATTCAATTTTAAGTTCAATCACATATTTTGTTTATTTTGGTTGATTATCATTTTTTGGCTTCTGATATATTAAAACTGTTTTCCTAGAAATTAATATGAAGTATAGAAGTTTAGAAATATTGCCAAAAATGTATATATTTCTATATATGTATATATATATTTCTTCAACTGCCTAGAATGTGTGCTGCCTGGATATACAAGTATAGTTACCATCTTCACAATCTGGGCAAAATTCGCTTATACGATATGATAAATAATAGAGTCTTTCTTTTTCTGAGTAACAACATTAATTTCGATTACACATTTTACAAAGACTGCGCTAAAGCATTCAAGATAGCTTTTAGTTATGGTTCGACCCATTCTTGTGAAGCACAGAGCACAGCTCGTTTGTTTTGTCACAAAACATGCAAAGCAAATTACAAGATGCCACAAACAAATACAGAAACACACACACAGTTACGCATTCATTGCTTCAGCTAGCAATTAGCACGTGCCACCGCCCTTCCCGTCCTTCGCGTCCTGGCGGGTGCCCTTCACAGCAAATTGAATGGAATTGCGTTAATATTAGTGGCGGCTTCACCTTTGCATTCATGGCATCTCAACGCATCTCATCGCATGCGTAGTGTTGAGCATTGAAGAGTAGGGCTTAGTGGTGGAGGAGGGGAGGAGAGGGAGCTGCCGTGGCCATTCTCATGCAGATTAGTTTCCAATTTTTCATAGACAAAGTTTTTCCAATGCCAATGCCAATTTGCATACGACTTAGTAGCTGCTGATGCGGCTTATTGGCAAACATAGAATCGGGGCGATATAAGCTAAATGCTCTACTATGTATGTATACACTACCTTGCAGACTTTACCTTTACAGACTGCCACTAATTGCCTGCTCCAGACTCTGCCTCTCCCCCTCATTTGCATAGTGGAGGAAATTGCAAGGGATTATTGCAATTGCCTTCATTTGCATGCAAGTTGTTTTCTATTTTATGTTACAGTATGTACACCGATTGCCATTTTAATTAATGCAATTCATTTGTATTATGCAATTTGCAAGCTCTCTTTCGAAGCGACTGCAGCTATTCTGTTCAATAATTGAAACATACTAGTATGTATACGTTTTTATAGATTGTTATATACTGATATACGATATATAGAATTGATATTTTACAATTGAAATTTATGAAATGCCATTTGGTTAATTACGAGACAAAAAGATAACGTTCGTTGTCACTTAAGGCTTCCACAATTCCCACATACCCGTATGTGTCTGGCATTTAAGTTTCCCCAACATCGCTCAAAATGTCAACATACGCTAATGGAGAGACCCTGCAGTGCGAGAATCTGTAGTTCCTAGTGGTAGGTTGTGACAAAAAATGCAGTTAGAAATCATTTAACCATCTTATATTTTATGATATCTACGGTTGAAAATACAACAAGAAAGGAATGCTAAAGTCGAGCAGGCTCAACTCTTAAATACCCTGTACCACCCCACAAAAAAGTAATTAAAT